TGAGTCAGGGGAGGGGTGCAGCACTTGGTGAGTGGAACATCCTGAGATCCAGCAACCTTGGAGCAGCAGCTCAGTGTAATAAGAGTCTCTGGCAACTCTACATGGGCTGTTTGAGGACAAGCCACTCTGCCAACCTATGCCCCTCAGCCAGTAGCTAGCTCATGGAGGTCCTGACCCTGGTGGCTGTCAGAGTCTTCCTGGGTGAGAAAGTCCTTCAGATACTGGTTGAGTAGAAATGACACATCTCTCCACTGTTGTAATTTCCTCCTTAACTCTGGGACAGCTACTGGGTTTCATCTTGAATGAGCATACTGGATTCTCTGAAGTGGAAAAGAGAGAAATTTAAGACTGCAGAGTTGCACAGTAGATTATCTGGGCTTTGAGAAAGATTTTGGTGAGAACATGCCCAAGGATCTTTCAAAGGAGAATTCCCATAGCCTATGGGAAAATGGTGGGGGGAGGTAAGCAAAGGCCTCCCCTCTATGAGAAAGTGTTGAGTAAGATTCCTAGACATCTCCCTAGACATTCTCTAATCATGAATCAGGTGTCTTCCTGAATCTCCTTCATAAAGATGCCCCTTCACTTCTCATTTGGCCAAGGATATTTGCATGTGGAAATCCACATAGTGCATTGTACCTGGATGGAATATTAGCCACACACATAAATGTGATTCACACAACTGGAGTTAACGGGAACAATGAAAGCAAGAAGAAATCTACAGATCAAGAAGTCAGCAATCTTCTGAGTGAAAGGTTACTGAATCTTGCGCAGTGAGAAGATAATGGGGACCTAGAGTAACAAGGCAGCACTTACACAACATTATGGCTACATCAAAGGTCACACAACTAACTTACATAAAAACTTGCCTAATGTTATATTTTGTGATTATTTTAGCTAAATGCATTTTTAAAGTGGAAATGAACTTTCATAACATTTTTAGATCATCATGTATGATATTATTTGTTGTCTAATATGTTTATAAATATTTGTGAGACGTGCCTGTCATAGGACTTCATGCTCTTCTTGCTCAAATGAGCTCTTAGCTCCCCCAGCTGAGCTGCCCCACTTGACTCACACAACTTCCCACCTGCCTTCACTGTGCACAGCCCCCTTACCTAAGCTTCTCAGTTAATATCAGCCTGTCTGCCAGCTCCCCATCCTTACAGAATTTCTTCCTAAGCACAGAATTAATGATATCATTACCCTCTTCATATTCTGATAAAGAGACAGATGTGCCTTCCTCAGTGGTCAGCTGTACATGCTGTTGTGGACCTTGCCTTCAGAAGAGTAGACAGGCCTTCAGTAGTAGACAGAAAGAGTAGACAGAAACTTCAGTCCTAGGCTCTATGCAGCGACCTCCACCTCTTGAAATCTCCCAAAATACATGACATTTGATTATCCTCAATTTATAGATGATGAAAGAGAAGTTCAAAGATGTAGGAAATATCATGGAAGAGCATGAAATGAATTTGGCAGTTAGAATCACTTCTATCTCCAAATCTTAGGCCACTTTAATTACTATAGCTACAGCTGTTTAAGTGAGATACTAAGCTGGACATGAAGAACTGATTCCTTGTACACTCAGGAAGGCCCCCAAGGACCACAGGGCTGAAGGTTTCCTTGTGCTCATAATTTCAAGAAAAAGCAAACCTCTCCAAGATAAAAAATTGTATCTGGATGCTCTTGGGTGAAGTATAAACTTATGACTATAAGTACCTTGAAAGAACTATGTCCAACATTAATAAAATTTGTGTTAAATCAGAAGCACCAGAACAAGGCACTATTGGTGTTTACTCTATGCCAGTTACTGATGTAAGTAAGATCTTTTAAGAGAATTAACACATAAGTACACTGCAACTCAAAGATGTAGGTATCATTATATACCATATGGGCAGAGTAGGAAATTGAGGAGCAGCAAACACAAAACCCTTTATTAGCACCCAGGAGATTGGCCTATGCCCATATGCTATTCATAGTTAACCAAACAGATTATTTGGGATACTTTTCTTTTTCAATTTCAAATTTCTTCTCTATATTTATAATATGATTCTGAGGAAATACATTAATTGTGGAGAGTGGTGACTTGGACAATGGTTTTTGACTGCCTCAGAGCTGTGGTTGCACTTTGCCCTGGGAACTTTCTGTGCAAAGGTTGAGGACAAGATTGCCCAGAAGTTATGATAAAGCCCTGCTTAGGAAGTTCTGTGCAAAGGCATGAAACTACATCAGTTTTGAACTTGAGCTCAGACACCAGCTGCAGGGGATAGAGCATTCTGAGCATAACAAGATAATAACAATTTTTTGTGAGTGCTGCAAACTTTAAGCCTTCTTGCTTTGCAGAAACTTCCCTACAAATAGCCTTTTGATATAAAAATGAGCTGTCCTAGCTCTGGGTCATGGTTCCTCCATCAGAGGTTGGTGTCCCATCTGGTCCCAGCTGTCTCTATAAATGTTTGTGTGTTGTCTTAATCCCCCATCACCCCTCACACATCATTAAGATTTGGCCATGTGGGTGGAGGTGATTAATAAAATATAGTCTGCCTTATTCCAAACCTCATTTCTTGAATTCTTTAGAATGCCTCTATGCTTACTTTTTGGGTATTCCTTCCCTATTAAAAATTATACCACTAATTTCTGAAAAAAAAGTTGGTGAAGGAGGCAAATTTGAGCCCAGAAGTGGTAAGGTTCTTTCTAACCATAGTAATTAGCACAGGTCCTTTTTTCCTTGATTCCTTTAGTCCCACCAGCCCACTGTACTGAACAGACAAATGGGCTTCTACTGCTGGGCTGAGAGTGGGAAGGAAGGCCCTGCCCTTGTGTTTCCCTGGAGATGATGGTCTCCTCCACCTACCCTCATTCTCATCTTGACCTTATATGTACCATAGTTCAGAACATACAGCAGCTCTGGACCTGCTGGCCATCCTCCATCCCTGAAAGTTCCCCAGCTCAAGAACAGACATAGAGGGTGCTAAATATTTTTTAATGTCCCAGAAACACCTGCATCTGCCTACAGGGAGAAGGTACTTCTGCATTCATCAGAAGAGCCTGCATCCCAGGAAGCAGGGATTTCCCCTCACCAATAGCATTCCCGATCTTCATGGTGTCACTTCTGGATACCACAGTTTCTGTTAACAGCAGACTGCTCTTCAGCTTCTTTTAAAAAGGTACTGTGCACTGTCACATTTGTTCCCACCATAACCAGATAATGCTGTCCAGTTACTACTCAACGGAAGTTTGAACTGAATGGATGATCATTAGTTGCAGTCCATTAGACAAACACATTGTTATATGTCTTTAGAATCTGAAATGGTTTAGAGATGACCCTGCTAAACATGGAGTAAGCTATTCTTGAAGATGAAAAGGCATTTCCATACCTCCAGCAGAAATGGGTAGCTGGGAATTAACCCTATTCCCACCCTACACCTCACTTAAACTAGAAGTTGCTGTGCTGTTGTTGCCTCATTATGCCATTGTCAGTAAATCAAAGGCAAAATATCAACCTATACTTCTAAAAAAATGTGCTAATGATGGGATTTATTTTGAAGAAAGAAAGGAGATTTAATTCAAAATCTTGTTTCTCAAGAGAGGAAACAGATGATCGATCATACCTCACGTTGGTGACTGAAAAACCATTTGCAACATATGGTATTTCTGCAGTTGGTTGGCCAGGGAGTAGACCGTAAAATTAGACAGAAGTAAATTTCTCTTTAAGGTCTTAGAACTACTGTTTTCTCTCTTCCAGTTGAGAGTGAAATTCCTGGTTGTTTTCTAGGAGGTTCATTCTGCCCCTGGATCAGGTGAAGAACTGACAGACATGACCATGATGACATTTGTGGCAGAGGAGATGCAGACAGGGACTGCAAAGAAGAAGCCGAAACATGTAACAGGTAAAAAACAAATTAAATCAAGTAGCGTGCTGTAATGATTAACTTACTGATAAGAAAAGGTTAATCAACACCCGAAACACTTGAGAGTCCTCAACTCCCCAAAACAAGGATCCAGATGTCAGACATCAGACCTGAAAAGCCTCTGCATGTAGTTCAGACTCAGATAGTGAAGAGGTAGGGCCGAGTGTTCTTGGTAGCAAGAAGTTTAACAGAATTAGAAGGTGGGAGACGTCATGGGATGTGCAGAGCTCTTGCTTTCCAATTGCCTCCTCCAGCCTGATCCACAGGACACCTGCTGTCTTCAGAATGTCTCCACAGATAGGGACCTCTCATTCATCTGCGAGGATGAATACTTCACAGTTGTATATACCTCATGCCAATACCACCACCTTCCCTTTTATACCACCTTCCCAAACTAATCTTATTTTACCTTTCTTCTACATGGGGATGCTGAGACTCCTCAAAGCACAAATGGTTTCCCAATAAGTTATATATTCTTCAGGACTACCCAGAAGTGTCCTTATGCTTTCCTTAAGATTAAAAGTCAATCTTAAGGCTTTTCCTCAAGTGAAAAATGCAAAACTGTCAATGTAAAACTGGCATGATGTTTTTCCTCTGAATATCTACCTACCATCTTTAAATCCATTAAAACTATAATACAAAGAACACTGTGTAACACTAAGGAAAAAACTGAGTGTTTGAAGTTGTTTTCTGCCTATATCAGTATTATTTTTGTTAAAATCAATTTTTATGTTGGCCCCTTTTCTCTAACTGGGACATATGTTGGAGTTTCATTAAGCCTACCTCAAGTTTGACATTACTACTTCTTAACCTCCTCCTCTGTGTCTGGTTGCTTGGCTTTTGTTTCTTAATGTCACTTAAACATTGAACTTCATACTTGTTAATTATGGGTTTTATTCTGTCCCTAAGAGAGCTCTGAATAGGTCAATGTGATTAAAACTTTACGTATGTAACTTTGAATACACGTAAACACCACTCATGATGCTATTGTTGTTTTTGATCAGATTTGTCACATATTGAAAAACAGAGGATCTATCAGAAATTTTTGTGGACATTGATCAAAAAATCTGTGTGGTTTTTCTCACCCCTTATAATCTTCAAATTACTCTGTGTAAGGATTTCCTGCTGAGAATTATTGAAAGCTTGAAAGAAATTCCTGATTTCAAGAAGAACATTTGCTATTGGACCAGAAAAATATAGGATAAATTTGGCAGAGAATGGTTATAGAGAAGAGGTTACAAATTTAGTGTCCATTGAGTCAAAAGTTTCTCCTTCCTCCTATTTTTCCTACCCTGGGATGCCTTTCCTTTCCTGGCCCTAGAGCCCCAGCCATTCTTCTAACTTGTTTAAGTGCATGAGGGGCCACAGGTTTCTGTGAGGTCAGCTGAAGTCTCTGCTATTTAGTAGAGTGACACCAATTGGGTCGCTTGGGAATGTATTTGTTCCAGAAGTCATTAGGAGCTGCTAAGTGCAGTAAATATTTTTTTCATTAGGGGATAATTAAACCCCACTAATACATGGAATTTCTCTGACTTCCCTTTTTGAGTAGGATTAGACATGGTTGGATTGATACTGTACAAACAGGTATTCAGACTTTTCCAGACCATTCCTGTGTGGCTTCTCTTGATTCTGCTACTATCTAAATATAAACTGTGAATGGGAAATTTGGAGGGGACTCATGCTAATTATTTGTGAACTCTTAATTGTGAGACACTCATGGAAGAGGTTTTCCATATTCCTCTTGTTCTAAATCCTCATGTGATAGAGTCCAGTTGACTCTCCTATTCGTTGCAGTCTCCTATCACCAGGTTGCATATTGTTGTCTACTATCGATGTTCTCACCTACTGAGAACTCTGGATGAATTTGCAGCTGAGATTTTAAGCTGTTTTCAGTGAGGACTGGTATATCCTTCCTCTACATCTCCCAATGTAAGCAGCATAATGCTGATCTCATATTCCTTCAACTTTGGCAGTACGTTTAGTATTTTATAACCCAAATTTGCTGATATGGGATCACTCCAGTTATGGAGTGGTTTTGAATCAACCAGTCTAATCCCAGGCCTGCAGGAATAGCCCTAGACATTCAGCAATTAAGTTGGAGGTACTACTTCACGTGGCCTCCCCAGAAGAAACCCTCAGAGGATTCTAACAGGAGAAAAATCCATGCCCTTTGTCCTCTCAGAGTGTGGTAGCTGTTCCTATGATGGACTGTAGGTGTGCTAATGGTGGGCAAGCATGGCAGGAAGGAGAAGAAAAGGGGGCAGGAGCCAAAGAGAGGAAGAACAAGAGCTGAAAAAGAATAGATGTAAAAATAGTTAGAGCAAGCTAGGAAAAAATGGGTGAGGGGGAAGTAAGAAAGATGGCAGAAGCAGAGATAGGGAATCAGGAATTGAAAATGGGCAAGAGGAGGAAGAGGAATTCCAGTTAATAGAAATCTTTTTTACAAAAGCCATCAGTGTGGACCTGGGATTCTCAGGAGGCAGTGCTTATCTAGCTGGCCAAGTCTGTGCCATTAGCCCCTAGCTTGGTCATTATGGGAGACCAGAAGCCGAAAAGGACAGAGGTTAGCAGCCCATGGACGCCCCTTTGCCCCTGGAAAAGGCCTCTTAGCAGGTCTTGGCCATGGTGTTGCAAGATGTTATGGCTGCCCACATGGTCCCCCTGGTCCCCTGAGTCCTCCATTCCATAGCAGCATAGAAACCTTCAAGATTCTGACTGCAGCCAGTCATATGCCCCACCACCCCAACAGGTCAAGTGGCTTTCACAGGCCAGGCCTCCTTACCCACTGCATTTGTGCAGAGAACGCTTGGTTCCCATCCATTGGCCTTCTTCCACCCTGAGGCGGCAATGAAAGACAACCCCTGTCCCAGATAACAGCCCTTTCCCAAAGGTGAGCCCCCCCAACCTACCCTGGTGGTGATGCTGGAAGAGATTGCTGGCCCCAGACTCCCAACTGAGGACTTTACAGACGAAAACTGCACATTTGCTGTCCCATCACAAAGAGTTGAGCCTACCATGATGGTTCACCAGCCAATGCCTACATCTAAGGACCTAAAACCTCCATTCCAGCCATCCACCTTTCCTGCAAACTTTCCAGAGAGCCCACCACCAGCCTCAGATTCTGCTCTGGAGCCCCTATCCATCCCATCACCATCCAGTCTTTTATACCTCAGTGTCAGTCCCTGGGGCTTGGCCCCCCTCTTCTGTTCTGTCTGCTTCAAGCTGGAGAGTTTTGCTGACATATTCCACAAGTCCAACAAGACCCTGTGGGCCCTGCCCCCATCATCTCCCATGAAGCTGGAGTTGAAGATTGCTATCCCACAGACTAAGCAGTCCTGGGCTGAGGGCACTGCATCTGTTAGTCCCCGACCTCCCATTCACCAGTGGCCAGCTTAGGACCATAATATCCCTCTTCCTAAGCTTTCTCTAGGCCAAGTCCTCTTCTGCCCCGATCTGGGGTTCCCTGGCCCAGGTACCTGCATTTGGCCCAAAGTTCTACCCCAAACAACCTGGCCCAGGCCCCAGTGGCATACTGTGGGTTGTGGGGAGATGGCCCAAGCCCCACCACCCCCTGAGCCCTATCTCTGGAAAGAAATCTTCCCTCTTGGAGGAGTGGTATCCTCCGCTTCTCTTGCTACATCTTGCTCATCCACTGAATATACTTATTACTTCTCTGAATGAGTAGAACCCTGATTGGGCTCAACCAAGGGGAAGGAACCAAGACCCTCAAAAACCAGGTGATTTCAGATCCTGAGACCAAGACTATGGGAAAGGTATCTCAATTCAGAATATGCAAGACACCAGTCTGTCTTCAACTCAACCTCATACCAATGGGGCTGCCTCGATCAGTCAGGTTAAATGAGAAGGAGTTCAGCTTGGAAGAAATGTATAACAACAAGAATTATCCCACAACCAGGAGGACCTTTGAGACCATCTTTGAGGAAACTGGGAGCACAATAGGACTCTCATATTCACCAGCTCAAGGAAGCTCCAGAAGGCTATAGAAATTCAGGACAGCAGCCTTCCCAGATCCTGGTGGCCATCCTGTGGTGTCCAGGCAACACCTAGCAGGACCCTTACTCCCAACCTGCTACCAGCCTGGATGTGAGATCCCTACTGTAGAAGAGACTGGAAGAGCTACATGTATTGTTCTTTGAGGAGGAAGATATAGGGGAGAGCAGCTCCATAAACCCTAGAAATTCTCTTTGTCAGTCCATCCATCTGGAGTGAGGAGAAACCTCTCTGAGGCAGTTATATTTTTTCTCTATATTTCTAGAAAAGTTTTCAATATGTTTCTGATTTAAAAAAAAAAAGAGTCATCAGTGCTCCATGAACAATGGGCAGAGGCCAACTGCAAAGAAAAAGAAAGGAACCCTTGGGAGGGCAAAATTTTGCATTGGACAGAAAATGCTCTTAATTCCAATGCAACAGAGGGATTTTATGAAGGCCTAAAACACACTTTATTCTTGCTAACTCCAGAATGGATGCCTTAGTTTTCTTCTCAGAGATATGAACCTAGAGAAAAATCCAGAGAGAACACAAATGAGAGTGGTGGTGACACCTCTGGTTGTAGATTGATGATACTCGGGTCATGTCTGGCAAGGAGAAGGGCCTGGATGAAATTCTGGGGCAGAGTGGAGGCAGAGAGGACTTGACATCTACAGTGAGGCCACACCACTTTGTTCTTATATTGCTGTGATTAATTGTGCAAACTCTGGACTCTGAATCCAGCCATCCCAAGAGCGAGTCTCAGGGAAAACTTTCTATTTAATGAAAACCAAAGCTGTCTTTTTCTCAGTGTTTAGAACTGGTTCCCCAAAGCAATCTTATTACTTCAGCAGAGTGGATGGGACTTGAGTTTCTCCTTCCATGTCCCCTCCACCGTCTGGGATAGGGAATAGAAAAGCTTAGAATAGGGAAGGAAGCTGTGAAGGGTAAGGGCTGCTCCAGGTCCTGGGTCCCTGCTGCTCCCTGCTGCCATTTCCACTGCTGCAAATGTGTCCTATGTGTTTTCCCACTGGCTCCTCAGGAGTCTTAGTGCAGGTGATCTGTTGTCAACGAGGCCCAGTCCACAGAGGATCACGGGCTAATCCAATCATGGGGAGCATGACTGAGGTGACCTTTCCTCAGGGAGCCTGCCTGGCTACTTGCAGCTCTCCCTGTAGCTGGCACAGGAGGTGGCATCCCTGTCCAGTGACAAGGTAAGTCCATCCACAACCACCACCTGTCCCATACAAAGGTTTTCCTCAAATATCCAGGGTGGCAGGTAGCCAGCATTGAAAAGGCTGTTCCTACTAAATCCTACTGGTGGAGATTTATCTCACACTCTGTCCAGCACCCCACACACTCCTCATAATCGAACAGTTGTCTTATGATTTTTCTGGACAGTAAATGATTCATTGAGCAACTCTATTTCATGTTTTCTTAATCCCTTCATACATTAGTGTGGTGCTGCTTTTCATCTCCTGATCATGGGTTAGGAGCATTTAATTAGGTGCATTTAATTTTGTTTTCACTGGATCCTCTCCAGCCAGCTACTGGAGGATTCCCTAATTTCTTATCTTTGTGAATACCAACTACAGATAGCTGTGATCCCAAATCCTGATAACTATCTCTGGGAAAATGCCTCAGTCTCCTCATCAACCATTAGAATCTGGCTAGGGACTCCAAGACCCCGCCAGAGTCCACCAGGGGTGAGAGTAACATGAGTTGTACAGTTGCCAGGGGTGAACTGGATCTCAGGGCCCTCTCTCTTACACTGACTCTGCTCCAAGGAAAAGATACCCCAGTATATGAACAGATGTAAATATTTCATCATCTTCTGCTTGATTAAAAAAAACAATTCAGTTGGAGCTGGGGCTCTAGCTCAGTGAGAGTGCTTGCTTTGCAGGTGTGAGGCCCTGGGTTTGATCCTGAGCACTCCTTGTAAATAGGTAGGTAGGTAGGTAGGTAGATAGATAGATAGATAGATAGATAGATAGATAGATAGATAGATAGATAGATAGAGATATTATGTCCATCTACAACTAAAAAATTAAAAACAACAATTTAGTCAATAGTTCTGAAAGACCTTTTCATATTGCTGAAAACAATCACCACAAAATCCCTCTCATTATGAAACTTTCAGTGCTTACAGCACTGTAAAATGAAGGGGTTTTCAAGACTCACTTTGGAAGGTCTGAAGTGGGGCTGAGGACCCAAGAAAGCAGTTTAGGGAAGAAGAACTAGGGGATGAGCAAAGGGGAGCAGGGAGAGAAGGAAGTACAGGGGAACAGGCATTCATAAAACAGAATGACTGTCACTTTTTGCCACCTAGGATCCTAATTCTGGTGTATTTCTATTCATGGCTTGAATCTCTCTCTCCC